GGTCGGGAGCCCGATCGCGGCCGGCTCCGGGTTTCCCTGGGTCGGGTACGCGGGAGGCCATGGCGTCCTCCTCGGCCCCGCCGGCCACCGTACCGGCGAGTACAGCGGCCCCCGGCCAGGGTTTCGGCTTCGCCTCCAAAACCAAGAAGAAGCATTTCGTGCAGCAGAAGGTGAAGGTGTTCCGGGCGGCTGACCCACTGGTGGGCGTGTTCCTGTGGGGCGTAGCCCACTCGGTGAGACCCGGCCCCGGCCCCCCGGTAGCCCCGTCCGAACCCCTCAAGCTCCTGCGCCTCGGGGCGCCCCTGACTCCGGGCTCCCGTCTCCGGTGCCCCTCGAGCTGCCACTTTCCCCGCCGGGCTGCCCTGTTCCCAGCTCACCAGCCTCCAGCGGTATCTTCTCACTCTAGACTTTTTCCTTCTCCGCAGACTTGTCTCCCTCGCCACCCTTCACTCATCCACGCTAGTTCCGCCTTCCCCGCCCGGACTCCAGCTCCCGGCCTCCCTGCCGGGTCCAGCCACCGCCCCGGGCTGCGGAGACCGGCCGGCCCCGGCTCCAGCCGGAAGGACTTTAGGGGGCGTGGTCTCCTGGGCTGGTGGCGAGGTCTCCGGGAGAGGGTGTGGAAGGGGAGCAGGGAGGGGAGCTGGATCCGGGAGGGGAGCTGGATCGGGGGGGATCGTTCACTTCCCTTTCCAGCTGGCGTCCTTGACTTTGGGACCTTGGCTTTGCGGGAAGCTCCAGGCTTCCCGGACCTTCTAATCCTGCTGTCCCTTCCTTTCCCTTCCGAGGGACAGCATTTCAGAGAAGCTACCCCTCCCTGAGCCTCGTGGTTGCGCGCACTCAGCCTGTGGTCTGAACTGCATTCCCACTGTTGGCTGGGGTGATGGTGTTTGGTGTAAGTGGGGGTCCTCTTGGACTAAAGAGCGGGCTGAGAAGCTCTGGTCATGGGGACACCGTGGTGGTGAACTTTAGAAACTGCTGTAGAGGGTGTGCCTGGGACCCGGGAGGAGGCCCGCGCGGCCAGTGCTGCTCCTTTGCTGAGGATACCTCAGGTGAAGGAATCATAGCCATGGCACCCTTCTCTTCGACCTGGAGTGGGAGGGATGCAGTGACCTTGCGTGTGACAGGCAGTATTTTATAAATCAGCTTCCTTGAATTGTTACAGTATGGCAGGGTTGTGGAGGTTGGAAGGGGTTGAGGAAGAATATAGTTTTTGTCACATTCTTAATTTATGGTTTAAAATATTGTCTGGGGTCAGCTCCCTTTTGCATTTGTGGCTGGGTGGACTGCTCCCAGCTGCCTGGGTGGTAATGTCTTATCAGTCTAAGGTACTTGGTCTGGGCAAGGCTGATAGAGGTGGGGCCGCCTCTCATATGTACCTTCCAGGTGACTCATCCATCCCTTTGGGAAGCTTAACAAGAAGGGTTTTCTTTTACTAAGAATTGAGGGAATTACACATGAGACCTGCCTCAGCTTCTCTAGGTCTATATACTTTAGCCTCAACATGCTGCCTTCCAGCCAGCACACATTTACTTCAAGTGTTTGGGATGGAGAAATTCTTTGAACATATGTCTTAGTGATGACTCAGCCTGTGTTATTACAGCCGATGGCAGAGGGGACATGAAGTACGATAGCTGAATTTTAGGCTGGGAATCTCAAGTGGCTTTTTTTTTCCCCCTGCAGGACTGTGATCTGTCCTTTTCTACCAAGGATAAGAGGATTTGGGTTTCACGGCAGTGTATGGGATTTAGATTAGACTTCGCTTCATAACCTCTGTTAGATGCTCAAGTAAGGATAGGCAAGGCATCCCCTTTATTCATTTAATAAACACTGAGAGACCACCGTGTGCCAAACATTTTGCTAGCTAGGCAGCTCAGAGATGCAGGCACCTAGCACTGGTCCTAGTGCTGAAAGAGCTCACAATCTAGATGGGGAATTTACATAAACTAGCGATTAGGCATATGATAAGTGCACTGTTAAAGGTGGGTGAAAGATACCGTGGCAACACTGGGGAGAAGGCGCATCTTCTCAGGAACCCCCTTTCCACCCTGAATCAGCAGACTGCTGATTCTGGAGGCTGAGGAAGCATGTGATGTATCCATCCTTTGGTTGTGGGTTGGCTTGACTTTCCCTCTTAAATCAGCTGCTCTTCTTTTACTTTATACCTAGGCAGGTGGGACCTCCTGCAGAGAACTGGGTCAGAGTGGTCTGGAAGGACTGGTCCTCTTTGTAAGGAGATGCCTCCTGAAGGCTATGGACATCTTTGTTCTTGCTGCTGTTGACCCCTCAGAGTCCCATTAACTCTCTTGTGTACTTTTAAAAATGCCTTTTATTTTGTTTTTAATGGAGCATGGAACTGTTTGTCATGGGTCTGCTGAGGATAAATTTTTTTCTCTCTAGAATTTCTCAAGCTTTAAAAATAGTCCTGAGTTGCTTACAGGGTTTGCCTGATATAAAATGACTGCTGTGAGCATGAAGTTCCTCGGGGGCGGGAGTGTGAGGGGCTCTGTGTGAGGATTGCTCACTGCAGTCCTTGTTGGGCAGCAGAAGAGCTCAGAGACAGTCTCTCTCACCTCTGTCAAGTGAATGCATGAGCGTGTTTTTTAAAAGAATGAGGTTTGAGTTGCCCTTTTCTGACGCTTGCCCAGTTGCCCTTTTCTGATTCTTGCCCAGACACAGTGTATGAGTAGTTCTCTACACCCCTACTCACTCACTCCCCATTCTTGTTTTGGCTTATCAGATCAATGAGCTCAGCCAGGTGCCTCCCCCTGTGATGCTGCTGCCAGATGACTTTAAGGCCAGCTCCAAGATCAAGGTCAACAATCACCTTTTCCACAGGTATGTGGGAAGTCCTACCCTTCTCACATCAGTCTTTGTAGAAAAGAATAAATAATTTAAGAATTAAGATTTAATGAGTTGAAGGTTTTAGATTTAGAAGGCAACTTACAAGTTGTATTGTCTAACCTCCTTCCCAGTGCACAAATTCAGTATTGTGCAAAGAAACCATTAAAATAATTTTCAGTGTCCCCTACACCCTTATATGTATGTACTAGTTTATCTCGTCTCCTGCCTAGCAATTCCATAGAGTAAATTCATTTGGATGCCATTACCATTAGTTTCTGATAGGGACTCCCTGGGGAAAAAAAATCTCTTTAAACTCTCCTAGTATCAGAAGATGCCATTCTGAAAAGTGGCACGTATTGCCAGTTTTAGGATGTCTCTTACTTGATGGAGATTTGGGAAATGCTGCTGTTTGGATGGGCAGTAGAACCTAATTCTACTTAGTCATTTACTAGTCAGGTGACTTAAGCAGGTCGCCCAACTATCCTGAACCATAGCCTCCCCTTCTATCAAATAGGGATATTATACCTTTAAAGGACCTCACAAGGGTTTTATGAGAATCAAATAAAGTAATATATGGGAAGGTGCTTTGTAAACTGTCAAGCCCTCCATAAATGTAAGGTAATATTGTTACTTTGGTTTTTTTTTAACCTTGAAAACCCCCTTTTCAGGGAAAATCTGCCCAGTCACTTCAAGTTCAAGGAGTATTGTCCCCAGGTCTTCAGGAACCTCCGTGATCGATTTGGCATTGATGACCAGGATTACTTGGTGAGAGTTTATTATGGGCTGAGGTTGGTCCTTTCTCCTTAACAATTGGGGAAGCCTTGTGACAGCCATGTTTGGAGAAATGAGAGCCTTGGCAAGTATGATTCTTTACCTTGTTGTCACAGACATCTTCAAAAATCTGCTGAAACTATGAACCTTGACGGGGGGGGAAATGTAGATACATTAAAAATTTCAGCCCTGGCGGGTTTGGCTCAGTAGATAGAGCCCTCGGACTGAAGAATTGAAGGGTCTCAGGTTTGATTCTGGTCAAGGGCACAGTGCCTCATTTGCAGGCTCGGTTCCCGGCCCCAGGCAGGGCCTATGAGGCAAGCAATCAATGTGTCTCCCTAACATTGATCTTTCTCTTTCTCTTTCTCTTTCTCCCTCCCTTCCACTCTCTCTAAAAAAATCAATGGAGCCCTGACCGGTTTGGCTCAGTGGATAGAGCATCGGCCTGCGGACTCAAGGGTCCCAGGTTTGATTCCAGCCAAGGGCATGTACCTTGGTTGCGGGCACATCCCCAGTCGGGGGTATGCAAGAGGCAGCTGATCGATGTTTCTCTCTCATCGATGTTTCTAACTCTCTATCCCTCTCCCTTCCTCTCTGTAAAAAATCAATAAAATATATATATTTTTTAAAAATCAATGGAAAAATATCCTCAGGTGAGGATTAACAACAACAAATTTTTTTTGGCCCTGGCTGGTGTGGCTCAGTTGGTTGGAGTGTCATCCTGTATACCAAAAGGTTGAGGGTTTGATTCCTGGTTAGGGCACGTACCCAGGTTGCAAGTTTGATCCCTGGTTCGGGTGCATGCAGTGGGCAACTGATTGATATTTCACTCTCACATTGATGTTTCTTTCTATCTCTCTCCCTCTCCCTCTCTCTCCCCCCCAAAAAAGCATGTCCTCAGCTGAGGATTAAAAAAAAGTTTTTTGCACCACTTTTAGTCCCTATATAGACACCAGATTAAGAAACCCTGCTCAACCTGTTATGCCAGGGTTTTATCTACTTTCAGACATATTCAGTTGAGCATTATCCTATGACTTGCATCTCCATATAAAAGGGGAAGAAAAGAGTCTCTGGCTTATTGTGTGTCTCTAACAGGTATCTCTTACCCGAAGTCCCCCAAGTGAAAGTGAAGGCAGCGATGGTCGCTTCCTTATCTCCTATGATCGGACTCTGGTCATCAAAGAAGTATCCAGTGAGGACATTGCTGACATGCATAGCAACCTCTCCAACTACCACCAGGTGAGGCCTTATTTTTTCCCTCCTCTCTCTAATCATAGCTTAGCTGCCAGAGCACACAGGGAGACTTCCTATCCCTTTTCCTCCTTTACAACCTATTCTGCTTCCCAAGAAGTACTCGACACCATGTTTTTTTGTTTCTGTAATTGAAAAAAAAATTTTTTTTAATTTATTAAATTGATTGGGGTGACATTGGTCAACATGAACATATAAGTTTCAGGTGTGGGTTTCTTTTATTTTTATTTTATTATATGTTTTTTAAAAACTAGAAATTTTAAAAAAAAGAGCCTCTGTATAGCTATTTGTGTTTGTTTAAATAGAAGAATTTAGACCATGTTCCTTCTCATTTTAGTACTTACGATCTAAAACCACTATGGATTGATACATAAAGTGCACGTGTATATCAAAGTCTAAACTATAGACTTATAATTGGGTGAAGTTTTAGCACCAACTATACTATCTGGAATAAATGCAGTTTGGGGAGAAAACCAGGATAAGTACACAATTGGGATAAACTGGAAAGTAGAAGCCATGATCATATCCAGTCCTAAAAAGGATTAGGGAGCTATTGTGGCTGATTAGCTTAACCTGGCATGTGGAGTTTGTGGAATATTTTGGTGATAACAACACTGCCTGGCCCCAGCCCAGTGACTCAGTCAGTTGGAGTGTTGTCCTGTGCACCAAAGGGTTGTGGGTTCGATCCCTGGTCGGGAAGTATATGGGAGGTGGCCCATCGATGTTTCTCTCTCTCCTTTACTCTCTCTCTAAAAAGCCATAAGCCCTGACTGGTTTGGCTCAGTGGATAGAGCGTCGGCCTACGGACTGAAGGGTCCCAGGTTCGATTCCAGTCAAGGGCATGTACTTTGGTTTCGGGCACATCCCCAGTAGGGGGTGTGTAGGAGGCAGCTGATGGATGTTTCTAACTCTCTATCCCTCTCCCTTCCTCTCTGTAAAAAATGAATGAATGAATGAATCAATCAATCAATAATA